TGGTGGCTGGGCGGCGGTGCCCAGGTGCTGGAAGTGGCGCGCCACGTCCTCTGGCACCAGGTTCAGTTGCTTGGCGGCTTGGGGCTTGAGCATGAAGAAGAAGGCTTGTGGGTCCGTTTTGGCCAGCTGCTCCAGCTTCTCGCCGCGGAGGGCTTGGCACTTGTGCCACGTTGCCACCAGTCGGCGCTTCAGGCGGTTGCGGCAGCGTCCCACCTCCCGCCGCAGGGCTGCGTCCTGCTGCTCAGGGCCGATGCCACGTTGCTGCGCAACAGCTGCCTGCTGCACCGCATTGCGTTGCGCCCTTCTTGCGTCGCGGATGCCGTACCGCTCACCCGAGCTGCTGCTGGGGGGCGGGCGGTACAGCGGGCCCGAGGTGGACATCTGGGCCATAGGTGCGCGGCAGGTCCCGGGCAGGTGCCAGCGGCGCTGGCGGCGCCTGGGCTGGGCCCAGAGGGCTGCGACGGCTGGGTTAGGAGGTAGCTGGGAGTCTGGGGCCGGGGCTGGGGCTGGAGCTAGCTGCAGAACTGCCGCCGCAGCACAGCAGCTGGCTGGCAGGCTGGCCACCTGCGAGGCTGGGCCCTACCTGCTGCCGCCAGCCCGACCTGCTGCTTGCCACAGGCTGCCTACTTGCGGAGCTGGTTTCCCGCCTGCCGCTGTTCCCCGGAGAGAGCGACCAGGTGGGATGGCGCTAGCGCTGGCTGCCAGCTGTGCTGCCAGCAGTGCTGCCGGCCATGCCTGCCTCGACTGCTGCTGCTGCCGCCGCCGCCGCCGCCACGCTGCCGCAACTGCTGGTGCTGCTGCCGCGGCTGGCCGTTTTCCAGAAATCGACACATCCGAGCCATGCTGGGCCGAGCCACCTGGCTGCGGCGGCGGCGCGGCTGCCTCCTGGCGCAGAGCAGCCCCCAGCAGCTGCACGTGTACCGCCTGTACCGCAGGACCAGCTGTACCTCATCCTCAAGTGCTTCGGCCGGCTGAGCGAGGCGCAGATGGCCTGCCTGGGCGCCCACCCAGTGTGAGTATGCGGGCGGGAGGCTGTGCAGGCCCTTCCTGCCACTCGCTGGCATCGCCCGGCAGCTGCACTGCAGCCACCGCCAGCAGCAGCGCTCCCCGCCCGTACGGTGCACGCCGCATCCCGAGGCTGGTTCCTCCACCAAGCTGTCGCAAACAACCTGCTGTGCCCCTGTGCTGCGCCCCTGTACCGCCGCATGTACCGTAGGTACCGCCGCATGGCCCTGCCCCAGGCGGGGGAGGCGGAGAGCCTGCGCCGCCGCTTCCCGCACTTCTCGTCCGCCCTCTTAGAGATGCTGGAGGCATGCCTGCAGGTGGGCTCAGCAGGCTGGGGCTGGGGCAGCAGGGCATATGTGTGTGGGGGTGTGGGGCTGAGCAAGGCGGCAGCGCCTGCAAAGGCAGCAGACGGCGGTGCCGGCACACGCCGCAGCTGGGTGTCCGCAGTGGGTGCATGCGCGGCGCGGCGCGGCACCGCCGGCATCGCGAGTGCAAGTGGCAGCATGACCTTCCGGCCTGGCTCTCAGCCTTCTGCCATGTTGTGGCTGTAAACGTCATTCTTTCTACAGCCGCCACTGATTATGAGGTATGTGTGTCGCAGGTGGACCCCGCAGCCCGCCACACCGCCACCCAGCTGCTTGCCATGCCCTACTTCCAAGATGCCGCCGCCTGGCTGACCCCGGAGTTCCTGGCGGCGCAGGTGCGGTACCACGAATGCGGTACAATGCATGCGTGCAGTACAGCAAGTGGTATACCGCCCGGCTGCGGCCTGGCTCAGCCTGCTGGCGTGTGGGGGTGGCTGGCGTGGCTGGCATGCATTGGCCGCCGTACGCGCTGCCACGGCTGCTGGGATGCCTGCCCCCTGCCCCCTCTGTGCACCTGCCGCACCCGTACCGCACACCTGAGCAGTACCCTGCCGTCGCCGCCGCCTGCCGCCGCCGCCGGCCTGCAGGAGAGGGCGCAGGGAGAGCTAGAGGCACGCATGCTGCTGCTGCACAAGCGGCGCAAGGTGGCGGAGGCGGCGGCTGCCCACCTGGCTGGCGGCGAGCCAGAAGAAGGCCGCGAGTGCACGCCGCTGGCAGCGGCGTCGCCGCAGCCCCACCACCGCCTGTCGCTGCAGCATCCGCAGCGCATCCCGGCGTACCGGCCTGGAACGCAGCAGCAGCAGCAGCAGCAGCAGCAGCAGCAGCAGGGGGGAGCCGTGCAGCAGGCGGCGCCTCGCGGCCCGCTGCAGCCGCAGCTGTCGCTGCCGGTGCAGCTGCAGGCGGCGGCGGCGGCAGGCGGCGGCGACGGCAGGGT